ACGGCTGAAAGGGCGAGCATATTTGGTGTGATGGGGATTCGAACCCGCGACCCACAGATTGCGAGTCGAGTGCCCTAACCACCTGGCCATGCTAGGCCCTGGGGAAACGAACACGTGTTTTAGTATTATAAGTCTTTAAACTTATCGCTGACCTACCGAATGAAGTATTAATGAAGACAATTCAGTAGTTTCAATTATTTACTATAGCACAAGTTGAATAACTTGTAACTTGTAGTAAAAAAAGAAATAAAGTTGAATAATTATTATAACCTTATATACAGAATAAAATAGTTAAGTAGCATAATATTTATAATGATTAGATTGTATTGATCCAGCAATTCTGTAACAAAGCTTTAATCGACATTTTCGGCCGTAATCCCAATATTATCTCATGAGGTTCATCATCTTTAAAATAATTAGGCGAGACCCAAATCTACAGACTAAAAAAAAATGTAAGTCGATTTTTATAAAAGTAATTAAATTCATTATATCATCTACGAAGTAAAAAAAATAAGTCATTTCAAACTTTTAAGCAATCTCATTTAATGAAAATTATTATAATTACCATATAAAAATCAAAGCATGATTATTACTTACAAAGCACAAAAAATACTAGTTCTTCATGGTTTAGGCCTACACAGCTTACCAATACGAAAAATATGATTATTTACTCTTTTTTTTTTTTTGAATTTATGTATTTGCATTATTGCAAGTCAAATAAATTAAGCTAGTAGTTAATACGAAACCAAAATTAAAAAAAATAACTAAATCGCAAGACTTGTTTATCTGGTAGATGTGGTACTAATATTTATAGTTGGAATGAAATTTTAGATCACGTAAATCTCTAAAAAAACTGATCAAAATAAATCGATTTATAAAATATCCATTGTTTAGCGGAACAGAATATTATCACAATACTTTGGTATTCTGGTTGCTAGATTTACTTTCTAAATTTGAGGCCTAAATTGTGAAGTGTATATAACGCATGCTACAAATACTTGACGAATACAAATCAAGCTTGGATAATTTCTAAGTACAACCACACGTGTGAAGAAAGTTTCGCCTCTATACAGTTTCGCATCGTAGAACCTGTATGAGATGTTGTATCACCAGTTTACACACCTACCGTCAAGCAAAGCTCTAAATCAATATATTGCACCAGAAATAATCGACCTTAAAAGTACGTGGATCATTAGCGGCTCTGACTGCAGCTAGACATGCAAGATGTTTAACGTAAACTTTTGTTGAAAAGTAGCTTACTCACTCCTTACTGTATTGAATTATTATCTAATTATTCGTGTTAATAGTACTGAATAAACGTCAACTCAATCTCATTATTTGGTGAATGCACGCAGACCTCTAGATCATCATGTCTGACATTATGTTAATTTCGTCTACGAAAATATTTTGCGGTAATGTAATAAATAACTAAACCACCGAATGTCCCTACGATATCAGAGGATACATAATTAAAATTAGCAGATGAGTTTCCCCTGTAGTAAAGAAAAAGTATAAATCATCGAAGAAGTTTACATGTACCTAACTAGTTGATTACTAATGTGTGTATTTTAGCCATATAATCGAATTAGCTCAGTACGCATGATGGTAGATATGAATGATCCCCATAACTGTTTATTATGTTATTAATGGTAAGGCTACCAGAATTATTTTAGCCATATAATCGAATTAGCTCAGTACGCATGATAGTAGATATGAATGATCCCCATAACTGTTTATTATGTTTTTAATGGTAAGGCTACCAGAACATGTGTTTGTTAACTTATGTTAAAACGAAGTTAATAAGGCTTAACGATTACATATAATAAATAATTTGTATATAAGGAATTATATTCGAGTTCGAATTGTGTAAACAAAGTTATATAAGATTATTATTTCAAATTGTATGGAATCGTATAAAATGGTATTTTAATATAAAGAGTATTTAACTCTAAATTACTCATAATCGTGTATCATACATTATTTTACAGTTACAGTGGGTTTGATTTTTATTCTCTTCTGTAGC